GCGATTCGATCGGGCGATTAAAATCGGCGTCGACGTGAACGGGCACACAGGAGAATTTTTCGAGCGATTTTAGTAATTCGCGGCGATCGGGCGATAAAAATCGCTCGTGTGCCCCTAAACACTCTTTACCATCCTCCAAAACACTTAAGCCAATCATAAAAATAATAACAACGTAGGAATCCTCATATGCCAACTGAAAACATATGATTAGACACCAAAAAAATCTTATACGTTTGTACCAATGGACATTGGGACATTTTACGCAGAAAAAGCCTGAAATATGGTGGCCATCTTAGATTTTTGCTATTTTGGAGTATATCGAGTGCTCTAATTTTGTTTCCAATGAATCTTTGATCCCTTTATATGAGTTTAAATAAAATAGAATAAATATTGTATGACATTTGAATGAATAGTTATGGTTAATTGGCAATTATTAAAAAAAAGAAGATTTTCCGTGATGGCCATTTTGAAATTCAAAATGGCGGCCCTAAATGTTAATGGAAAAACTGGCACCCATTTTTTTCTTAATCAGTGAAGTTTCTAGATGTGTTTAGACATGAGTGCCAAGAATCTACCCAAAAAAATGACAAATCTGGAAAATATTACATAAGCCCATAGACTATAGACGGATAAACCGTGCGCCCGTGTATGCCCATGGTAGAATGCTGAGAGCGAGCAATTCGCGGAGCGAGGGCACACGTACGCACGTGCTAATCTCATTCAAAAGCACGTACGAAACAATTATTTTTATCACATAGACACTTTGAAATTTTAGTGGCCCGGTCGGGCCACCAAATTTTAACTTTTGGAAATTTTGGTGGCCCCGGGCCACCGGGCCACCGCTAGTGTCGAGCCTTGCCTTAACCCTAACCCTAACGCCAAAAAAGGGGCTTCAACGAACGACGGCTACCGTACCTCTAGCCCGACCAGGCTGTGCGACGGATTGTCTATATACTATATTGTCTATATATATATATATATATATATATATTCTATACTTATATATTGTCTATACTATATCTAGGTATTCTAACCCTAGCAATACCGTTTCTTGGAGCTACCGTACCTCCAGCCACTGCGTTACTATTACCATGTTGTAATATTAGTTGTAACACTACGTTGATTCTGACAACGGCTATCAGAATGAAATATCACATGTGTATTTCTGGATTCACTGAAAATAAACAGCTTCAGTGGTCAGAAAAAGGCTTTTTTTTTATAAAATTCGTAATGACATCAGTGCTGCCATCTACCAGGTCAACTGTAGATTTCTTTGACACTTGACTGGAAACATTTTGTTTGCATGGTTACCTTACGTTGTAAACCGACCAGGCTCTCCGACTAGTTACACGGCGGAGGAGCGAGCCTCTCGCCACGTAGTGTTAAGCGAGATGGGAACTTGTGGCTACTTACGTTGTGTCTTTTAGGGAGAATGACATTGAAGAATGCGGCTTGGAAATGTTCTTCAGTGTTGACTTTAAGGTTTGGGGTAAGATTGAATCACACGAGCTGTCAGCTAATGGTGCTGACCTTCAGGTCACTGAGGAGAACAAGGAGGAATATCTAAGGTATGTCAGCTACAGGCGCCTCCTCTAGTCACAAACACGAAACAGTTCATTACCTCCGCCAAGGAGTTGGCAGGAGGTTATGTTTTCATCGGCATGTGTTTGTTGGTTTGTGGGTTTGTGTACAGCCTAACTGACAAAGTTATGGACGGATTGTTATAAAATTTTCAGGATAGGTCAGAAATGGGCTAACTTAGAACTCATTAGATTTTTGTGGTGATCCGGATCCAATTAATTAATTAATAAAATTTCCAGGATAGGTCAGAAATGCCAAAATGGGGTAACTTAGAATTGATTACATTTTGGTCGTGATCCTAATCCAATCAATTAATTAATTAATCAATTAAATTTTCAGGATAGGTCAGAAATGGGGTAACTTAGAATTGATTACATTTTGGTGGTAATCCGGATCCAATTAATTAATTAATTAAATTTTCAGGATAGGTCAGAAATGGGGTAACTTAGAATTGATTACATTTTGGTGGTAATCCGGATCAAATTAATTAATAAAAATGTTTACAGTGACAGAATTCAGCTGCCTTGGCGGAGGTCTGCGCTCTCCGAGTGCTCTAGTTGACAATGTTTTTGTTAGGTTTTCTTGCTGCTGCCACCTATCGGGAGTATAACGTAAATAGGATAACCTGAAGTGACTGCAACTAATTTCATTTAAATAGATCAGGCCAAAATTAATACCATCATAACGCAATGATGGTAGTGCTTCTATCATACTAGCTAGTGATGATATGGTGACAGAGTACACCTCAAGGGTTAGTCCACATGGTGTGCTAACAGTCAACTGTTTGATGCTGAATTGATGGTTGACAAATCCATGACTGTCACAGTTTGATCTCACAGTTACATGCTTGACGATAAATTTATTGTTGACAAATCCACGACTGTCACAAGTTGATCTCACAGTCACATGCTTGACACTCAATTGTTTGTTGACAAATCTACTACTGTCACAGGTTGATTTCACAGTCACATGCTTGACACTCAATTGTTTGTTGACAAATCTACTACTGTCACAGGTTGATTTCACAGTCACATGCTTGACACTCAATTGTTTGTTGACAAATGCACGTACTGTCACAGGTTGATTTCACAGTCACATGCTTGACACTCAATTGTTTGTTGACAAATGCACGTTTGTCACAGGTTGATGACTGACTGGAGGTTC